CTCCCCTCCCCCCCCCCCCCCCGCCAATTAAGCGGCGCGCGAGGCGAACAATTTTTCCTCGTTAATTTCGGCGCGAGCCGCGGGGATGGGTTGCACAAATAAAAAAAAGCCCCAGCGAAGCGCTGGGGCAGAAAGGAGGGCGGGAGGAGGGACCCGCCGGGAGGCTGCCGGCACCCGGCTCGGGCTGGCAGCCGGCGCCGGAAAGGCGCCTTTTTTTCATATTTAAACCACGCGGAATATGTACATTTTTGATTCCTACTTACGCTTTCAGGGGGTTGTGAATGACAGTCGCCATTTTGCTACAATGTAACAGAATATTGTGTCTCGGAGTTCTAAAGGTTCGCTCAGGGGAAGCGGCCAGCCAATCGGAGCGCGGCATACCGGCCCGCCGACCAATCCGGCGGCGGGGGGCGGAGCCGGGGCGCTGCTAGTTATTAGGGGAGCTGTCAAAGCCCAGAGGTCACTCCCTCTCGGTGGAACTGGCGGCGAGCAGGTCTTAAAGGGGCAGCGCCCGCCGCCGGGGCCGCCGCCGCCGCTCCGGGGGGACCCCGGGGGCGAGGGTGGGCAGGGGGAGACTTTCCCTCCGGTCTCCCGCTCCGACGCACCGCGCAGGGAGAAGGAAAGCCGGGCTCGCTCCCCTCGTCCCTTCCCGCCGCCGGCGCTGCCCCCTCCGTTCCCCCGGGGAAAAGGAGCCCGCGCCGCCCCGCTCGCTCCTCCCGCTCCCCCGGCAGCGTCCTTCCCGGGCTGCTTCCCTTTCTTCCAGACCCGCTCTCCCCGCCAGGTCTCCGGGAAGCCGCCGGCGCTGGCAGCGGCTGGAGGGCAGCGCCGCTCCCCCTCCCCCAGGAATTTCCCTCTCCCTGTCACTCAGCCCGGCCCGCAGCCCCCTTACATAACGCGCGGCGGACGGACGGACCGACAGACCGACAGACCGCCCCGGCTCGGCTCTCCCACGGAGTAGCCGGCAGCCGGCTTCCCCCCCCCTCCACAGACCCCTTCCCCGCCAGCTTTCGGCAGAAGGAGCAGCGGGGGGGGGAGTCCCGACCCACCGGACACGTAGCCCCACGGCCGGGGAGCGGGCAGAGCCCACCTCCGGGGGGGCAGCGAACTCCAGGAAGTCCAGGGCTTACCTGCAACTCATTAAAGGAGCTCGCAAATGAATTACGGAGCGTGACCGGAGTGATCGAAGAGGTGCCAGTCCTGACCTCACGCTCAGAAGTAAATCCGCCGAAGCTCCCCAGTTCACACCGGTGTCAATTCGGTGTCAACAAGAGCCGAATCAGGCCAAGAAGTTTTCTTCTTGTCTGATCTAGTAATTCTCCCTCTCAAAGGTCTTGCCCCCCTTCAGGCACCTTCTATCCCTCTAAAAAGCACCACAACTACCACCAAACCCAAGCCTGCGTCTCCCTTCTTTGCATTTATATAACCAGAAGAAACTCAACTAAAGCCAGCTAAAATACACTGCTGTAAAACCAGCAGAAGAGGAGACTGCACAACCAACTTCATTCACAACATAGTAAGACAACGGAAGGGATGGTGTTTGTGAGATTACTCAGGTGTTAACAGAAACAGCAAACTTTCTGAACTAACGGGCTGAACTTTAAAAGGCAAAAATGACCAAAAATCTCTCAACTGTTTGACCAAATAAAACTTTCTAGCACTGGGCCAGAAGAGAAAAGGAGGAGGGCTGGAGAACAGAAAGCTAGAGAAAAGATTACCTACAGAGGAGAGGAGAGAAGAGAGCAATGCAGCAGCTTCCCATTCATTACAGAGTCATCAGAAGTTTCCAAAAAGTTAAACTTTCTAAGACCTGTCTAGGGTTCCTCTTTCCAAAACATTGCCTCCTCCAGCTACTAGGTCAACCTAGGTACCGTGCCAAGCGCGTATCCCTGGAGGGAATCGTCTCTTCCATCAAAGCAATCTAAGCCATTTGGTTACAGGCACTGCTTAGGAGAAATGAGCTTTCTGTCAGCTGGAGAGTTGCCAAGATGCTGAGATCTATCCCAAAAACAGTTCTGGGAAGCAATCTTTAAGAATGTTTCCATTATCATATTACATTATATTATTTAATACAGTAGTAGCCCAGGTGACATTGAATGTGACTTCAGACCCTCCTGCTCAGCTCTCGCTCACTGTTCACAGGAAAAGCTAACCACAAACTGACGAGTTTTCACAAGCGCACGCTCGAGGTACACGCTGCACAGAAATGCACAGCTTAGCAGGCACCTGGACCCATGACCCCGAGCTCGCCAGGGTCATCACATCTCATCTCGCTATTCTGAGGGTTTCTGGTTTGACTCCTCTTATTGCCATGATATTCACCTCATGGCAAACATCAACCAAATTTTAGGATTTACCCTACGATGGGCAATATCCACTTGTGGGATAACAACAACTTCGCTTCACACAAAAGCAAGAACAGCCCAGGACCGTGTCGCACTGCAGAACTGGAAGGAGATTTGTTCTACTGAGAGAATGCACCAAAATTCAGCCAAGCTCCAGAAAGCCCTGAGACACTAATGCAAACTGGTGACATTTTCAGAGACTTAAAAAAAAAAACCATTTGAGGTCAATTTTAGGAGTTTAATGAGTCCCTCTGGTCCTGTTTGGTTGGATATATAGGCCCACTCCTGCTCTGCAGGCAAAGAGCTCTTGGTGCAGCTTGGCAGGGAGCATATTGCAAAAATGGGATTAAGCCACACATGTTTCCCTTGCTGCTCCTGTTATTCAGACGTTGGGCCTTTATCAGCTACCAGCAAGAGCAACAAACAGTGAGAACAGCCACAGATGACCTTGGGTTGCTGATAGCCCTTTTCCCAGCCAGACCCCACGTTACCAGCCAGGAGAATCAGTCAACAGCACTGCCTCGCTCAGAGGAATCTCCAGGACGCCCAAGGACAGAGCTGCCATAACAGAACTGTGGGAAGTCTCACCCGTGGTAACAAAGACATCAGGCTTTGCTACCTCTAGATAAACTCTAAGATGCTTGTATCATATGACAGAAAACATAATTATTTTTAAATACTTAATGATAACACCATTCTGTTAGATTGAAGTCAGGACTTGCCACTTGGGAAGGCTACTGTAGCAGATTTTGAAGATTCCTGCTTTAGTCCATGTTTTCTGGCCTCCTGTAAGAGGCCTGTTATGAACTGTTGCACAGTGCTTTGACCAGGCTACACTGCGTGGAGAAAACTGCCACCCTGTTTTCCCCTGCCACCCTGTTTCACACAGAATTCCACAACAGTTATATTATCATTTTAGCTGGGAAAAAAAAAGGCACAGAGCACTGAGTGGCATTTCATTTGTAACAACCTACATAACTTATTCACGTAATCACTATTTGCAAGTTATGTTAATAAAACTTTTATGTCACACCACAGTAACCTCCATTTTCACATACACACCAGTCCATCATCAACCGATCATTTGTGAACTAAATTTTTGGATTCGTTTTCCTTATGCTTTTAAGATACTGTAAGTCACCAATAAATAGTGTTACTGTTATTTTGCACTCCAACAGAAGATCAACACGTCTGAAACACAGTTACATACACACTAATCCCAACTTCAGGATTTTTACATTCCTACTTAGCTGCTGATAGTTTTATTCAGACCCACCCGAAACATAACAAGGAGGCTGCAAGAAAATACACTGTAAAAATATTTGGCATAAACACCCTTAGCAGGCATATTTTTAATGAGAGGTTGCCAACTGCTTGGACAGCCAACATTTAAGTTTAAAAAAGGAAGGTAAGTTTTGACATAAAATTATTGGGGTAATGCAAGGCCTAGGCACGCTGCCTCTATGGGGTTAGAGGGAGCAGGGCTTCAGAAGGGAGAATCCACCATCTCAACTCCAGCCCCCTAAAGGGAACTACAGCTGGTCTCTGCCTAAAGTAGAAGGAAAACAGTGTTATTGCTTTTCACTGTATTGAAAAGTGTCATGTCTTGTAAATCATACTGCTACCCTCCTGATCCTCCTCTATTTCAAACAGTTTTACTATTTACACAATGCAAGTGCATTCTTACTTTCTCTAAGTGTCAAAAATGTTCCCGCTCACCCTGCAAAGCCTTATTTTGGCTGAGGATCTTTCACTGTGAAAGAGTTTTTACCCAGCATTTATTGTCTCCTTTTTATCTTGTTTCCATGTAGAGTTGTTCTTTCCTGGAGGGAGGGAAGGTTAGGTTCTTACTTATACATTCCTCAACTCTTGTGAATTGGAAAGTGAAACAAACTAGACACTGACACTGAAAGCCACAAATCTAATTTTGTTATGGAGGGAAATATAAAAAGACAAACAGTTGTTAGTCTACCAGAAGCCATATGGTTTTTCAGCTTTAATATTCCCAGATATTTCCAATGATATACAGCTTTCTTTCCTTCTAATACATTAATATTCAAAGGACCAGATTCATATAGCTCTAAATATGACAGCGTGCTCTGCGTGCTGTAATGTAGCTTGTTACAGCAAAACAGGGCCCCACATGCACAGATATCCTGCAACAGATTTGAAGTCTTAACCCCTTTTTATTTATTTAAAGCTGTGCAGGAATCTCTCATACAATGTTTCTTGTCATCCCTCCTCCTCACTTTCTTTGATCTTTACCAATAGTTGGTTAGCTGAAAGAGGAGGGAAAGATATCAGAGTGTCAACGTTACAGACTCAACACCAGCTCTCTACAGACAAATCACCACAAATTTTATGCAGTCAGCACAACAAAGATAACTATGGAGCTACACAGCGTAAAAACTGGCGCCAATGATTCATTCTTTGCAACCTTGGGAAACACATTCTTAAAAGGTGACCTCAAAATTTCCTTTTTTTTTTTTTTTTTTTAACAAAA